ATTAACAATGCCGAAGTCCCCGGCAATGGCATCAAAAACTTGTTCACTCAAATCTGCAAGTGCACGGATGTCGTTGTAGCAATACAAGGTCGTATCCTCAGGGACTTCGTTGTCAATTACTGATTTTCACTGTTTTGTGACTATCTAAACCAATCGTGCTAAAAGTATGATTCTTAACTATCAATAACGAACGCGCTAACTAGTATCAAAGCAAATTCACTCAACTAAAAGAATCTAGGATTGAACTTCAGTTTCAACTCTAGTTTGAATCAACAAATTAATCAATTGTTATCGAATCTCTCAATGCATTAAGAACGACTAACCTATGATAACTATTAGTCTCTTTCGACGACTAAAAGTCATGCCTAATTCAGCCTAACAACTTATTTTCATGGTGTTGAACTAAATTAAACCCATTAAGTTCATGTTAATCCCTCATGTTCTCAAGAATAATTAACCTACTTTCGTGATCAATTAATTCCTGTTCAATTACTATTTTCCGACGTCAATCTAACCTTTCAGTTCAAATCAACATCCTAAAAAGATTAAATCAGTAGCTAATTGAATTAACCCAAGGCAATTAGATACTAGCAATTGAATAATGAAAATCGAACAGTCAATAACAACAACAATCACTTTATTGATTCATAACCATGGTCGAACCTAGTTCAATCCCAGATAAGATAATTACTCACACATAATTAAAATAGAAAACATGATAACAATATATAAGATCATAATCATAAACTGGAAAACGAGATAGATCAGAAAGATAAACCGTAGTGTCGAAGTTGCACACAATTCTCCACAAATAGCAGATTCCAAATCAAAAGAAAACCTAATCTAAGAGTTTTTAGAGAGAAGGGGAGAAGAAGAAGAAAGAAAAAGAGAAAAATCCAGCCTCTGGTGTCGTCTAGATGCCTCAAGGCGTCTTCTTTTAAGTTCTGGAAAAGATGTGTTAACAGATAGCTTCAAATCTTGCTTCAGATCGCGTGATAACTGAATACCGATATCAGACATGGCTGTGTAGATCAACACGACCAGGTCGTGTTTAACTCTATTTCGCTCTGCTTTCTGGGCCTTTCTTTTGTATTGAACACGCCTGTGTTGTTGGACACTGAGGAACCGTGTAGCCTCTTTCCATGCATTTATTGACTCCTTCTTGACTCCAAATCCACGCTAAGCTCCGGTAATTCCTACACAATATATAAATAGAGCAGTAAACAAGAACTAGGAAGCTTAACATGGCCAAAATGCAAGGAAATACATCAAATAACAACGAATCCGTAGGTGAAACATAGTCAAAATATAGAGAATATTCGTGTTTATCACATTTCCAAGTGTTTTCAGAGGGTTTTGGTCTGAAAACACTTTTCTTAAAAATCTAACGTGGCGTCCTATGTGGCACCCTTATTTTTTTAAATCACAAAACGAAATAAACGTGTGATTTGAAAATTGGTTAAAACCAAAATCCTATATGACGGAGAGAGATTTCTTGGAATCATACATGGCGGGGTTTTTTTTCTCATTTTTATCCGAGAGTTACAGGAGAATCATGCACTCCTCACGTGATGTACTCAGCTGTCGGCCATGACCTATGAGACTTGCTAACGGGTCGTGTCGAACCCCAACTCTTCTATATAAGTTCGAGAATATATGGCCCACACTATAATATCCTTCCGGCGCAATAGTAAAGTTTCATTGTTAGAGTTTTAGGGTATTATTGGCAAATTTAAAAAGAAACTAGGTCAACTCTAGTTTTCTTCTAACTAGGCTAAAGTTAGTCCAAGTAAAATGTGATTTGAAAAAGAACTAGTTTTTTAAAGCCTAGACTTTGAACTAAAGAAAACTAATTTAACTTTGGCATCATTGTTATCAAATCAAAAACTAACGTTTTTGATCATAAGTTGTAGCCACTAAAATTAGTTTTGTAAAGTTTCCGAAATACACCATTAATATTAGATATGTGCTTGCAACTTCAAAATAAAATTGAGGTGGACCTATTTAGGGATTCCCCCCCCCCCCCCCCCCCCCTTCAAAGCGCTATACGTTTAGCGGCCCATTTTTTCATGTTTATAACGCGACTTACTTCTATCTCTATCTTACATACCAACAATACTATTTCTTTTTATCTTTATACCCATAACATCAAATCCATCCTATTTCTATACAACATTTACAAAATAAAAGTTGAAACCTCAAAATTTTGTTTTCTCCACTTTCTTTGTTTACCCCATCTAACTATAACCTATTCTAACTATAACCCATCTAGCTATAAACTATTAATTCTAACTCATTCTTCTTCTTCTTCTTCTCACTTTCTTTGTTTTCTCCACGTCGTCATAAGCTTTCCTCCACAATCTTCGCCACCCCTTCACCGTCTTCTCTGCTGCCTCATTGCTCTCTTAACATCCTGCATCTTCCATGATCAACTTACAAATTTTGTTGCTATACTTACGTGTGTTGTTGCTATACTTTCAAATTTGGTTCTTATACTTCCAATTTTTACCGCTATACCGATAGACCTTTGTTGCTATACTTATAACTTTTTGTTGTACTTGCATTATTATTTATTTATTTATTTAAATTTTTAATGGGTGGGGCCTAGGCGGCCGCCTAGGCGGAGGCGGTGCCCCCACCGTGCAGTTTAGCCTTGGGCGGCCACCTTTGGGCGCTGGGAGCGCCTAGGCGGCCGCCCAGGGCTAAGCGGGCCGCTTAAGCGGCCCGCCCCACATTTTCAAGGCCCAAAACAAGAGCTGGGCGCTCCCAAAACCCAAACAAAAAAAAAAACGAAAACCCCAAAACCCAAAACCCAAAACCCAAAGTCCAAACCCAAAACCCAAACTCAAAACCCTAAATCTGTTTCACCCGATGCCGCCAGCTCAAAAAATCTTCGATCTCGTCCTGGTTGATCGTCTTCGAGCTCGTCTTCAACTACCTGGTGCTGGGAGATCGTCTTCGAGCTCGTCTTCAACGACCGAACTCGTCGTTCTGGTGCTGGAAGATCATCTCCGAGCTCGTCTTCAACGACCGAACTCGTCGTTCTCATCTCCGACGTCTTCCGAGCTCATCTTCGAGCTCCTCGTTCTCATCTCCGACGTCTTCCGAGCTCATCTCCGAGGTCGTCGTTCTCATCTTCGAGCTCGTCCTCTACTTCGAGTTCGTCGTTCTCATTTCCGCAGAAGGAAGAACATCAGCGACATTTTCAACCTGTTTTTTGGGTTCGGGTATGCTCTTAAGCTTTCAAAACCCTCCAACTTATTTTCCTTGGTTTTTAACTCTTCTTTTCTTGGATTATATTCATTATTTGGGTTCGGATATCCATTACTATTATAAAAATCAGTTTTTGGAGCTTACTGATTTATCTGGATTTTTTTTCATCTGTCATTAGAAGACTATTTATTTGTTTCTCTTCTATTACTAATGAAATGAGGTTTTTGAAGGAGGTTTTTGTCGTTTATACTTTATATGTTCTGGGTAAATTGTCAACGATGCTATTGCTATGTATATGTCAAACTTTATATTAAAGTTCGCTGCTGTTCTTTCTTCTGCAGACAATGCTATGTATATGTTAACTTATTATCTCAAGCTCAAGGAAATTAACTGCTCCTAGCCTTATGTTAACTTAATATATTTATATCATATTTAGTTTAATTGTTTAAGACTGTAAGTTTATTAGTTTAATTGTTTAAGTTTAATTTTCCTATTTCATATGAAAAAGTATCCGAGTGTACAACAGAATATGCATCACCACAGTCCACAACAGACTTATGCTCCCTACATTTGTCTTTGTCATGTTCATTCTCTGCATTTGCCATTTGTTCAAAACTTACAACTGTACATGCAATAATTGTGTATCTGCATCTTTGATTGACTATTATACTTTGGATAGCATATGTGTTGTGTTGGTATTTTTGTATTTATGCATTGTTGATTGAGTATATATATTTATCTTCAAGTATCACAATTAAAAAAAGAAAAACCGCCCAGAAGAAAAAAACCGTCCAGAAACCGCTTAGGCGCCCGCCTAGGCGTCTAAGCGCTGGGCGCCAAGTCCGGCGCCCAGGAGCGCCCAGCGTTTAATGTAACATTGGGTAGTAGTGATGGAGAGCCAGTGATGGTAGAGCTTAGAAAGTGAGGATGGAGGGAAGAGGTTGCCATTGAATGAAGAAAATAGATTATTTTATTAAAGAGAGAAAGAAGAAGAGTATTTTGGGTATTTTTGTTTTATTATGAGATACAATATATATGTATGGCTGTGCTTTATATTTTTTGGTTTGAAGATAAATACAAATAGTATTTTAGGTTTATGAGTATAGATCGAAGTAAGTGAATTTAATAATAAATCAAGGTAAAACCCTGGGTTTATTAGTAAAAAACCCTCTTTTTTATTCAGACCAGAATTAATCTACAAAAGAATCAGTCTAATCTACAAATAATTAGCAAAAAAGTTATTAAAAAAAAAAGAAAGATAGATGTCAAGTATTGAGAATAACTTTACATCATGGGACACAGCAAGGAACATTCTCTTTTGGTAGTTTGAGCCTAAGATATGACACGACTTAATGTGGAAGCTTTCTAGAAATGAACTTGAGGACGTTGCTTCACCAAAGTAATGTCAATCATAATAACGATCATATATAATATAGTATAACATTAAATAGATGGAATTACGTGTTAAACAAGTCCATCTCCATCTAACAAGTGTGACGAGATATAGTAAAATCTCTGTTATCATCAAATAATCTAAATACCTTAAGAGCAAATCTAATCACAGATACAAATCCACTAAAATGATATAACAATAAATAATTATACACAACAAAATAACATATTATTCATCATGATGTACTAGCTATTTAGATTCATTATTCACAATATTGTTGACATGCTCCATCATCAAATTCTTCATACTTACTGTTTCTTCTTTGATAACATGAGCTACCCCAAATCATTTTCATGTTCCAACTCTTAATAGTCTCTAATAAGAAGACAATAAGAAAATAAAGATAGGAGGGAGAATAATCATTTTACATATAATAGGATATTTAGACATACAGATACAATCACTATGGATGAATTCCCTTTCCAAATTGCCACATCTAATTGGTTCAGAAATGTCTCAAAGATTTTATCCAACAACTAAATTCAATTCATTACAATTACCTCTATTTTTCTGCCAGCATTGACCTCCTTTTTCTTGACTTTTTACAAGTAAAATTTTATTAACAAGAAGCATCATGGGTTTGTTGCATGACTGCATCTTCACTTTAGCTTCCATTTATACTGAAACATTTGAATAGCTATTGAGAAGTATAAACTCAATAAAATGTGTAAAACTTTGCAGATATACTTCAACTAACCTGCTCATTTTGTAACTCGGCTTAGAGAAGGAAAAATCTTAGAGCTTCAACAACCTTCTCTGGCCTGTAAGAAAATTCATTATTGACCACGAATAAAAGAATGATTTGTTATTCTATAAGAAGGGAAATTAGTACATATTTTATGAAGTGAAGGAGAATGGTACCAGTCCTCTTGCGGCATATGACCAGCTCCCTCTATTGCCTCAAGTTTTATAGCAGCAGGGTTTCTCTTCTTAAACTCCTCGGCTTCTGATATACGCAAGTATTTGTCTGACAGGCCCCACGCTAGCAGCAAAGGTTTGTTCCAACTACAAAATTTACAAGGCAAAATAAGTTAACTCTGTTTTCTAGAGTAAGAGGCATTTTTCCTCTTACTATTGAGAATAGAATACGATATGTTAACAAATTGACATTGTAATCAACATCTAAGCTCATATAATCTAGTTAATTGTCATATGAACCATATGTACCCATGTGAAATGTAGGAAATCTATCAAAGTTAAGGCTAGCGGTGGAATTATACATGGAAAAAATAGATCTCATAAAGAGGCGCAGTCCAAGGATCTGAGGCTCCAAGCATTGTGGGGTCTGAGGAGTTAAAGTAGATCTCGTGAATGTAAATAAATCATTTAATGTTCTACCTATGTTGCACAGACACAACATGAAAAACACAATACAAACATGTGGATACACAAAATCTTATAATATAATGAATGCACCTCTATGTCTCTAATATGTAAACCATGAAAACTAAACATTATGACCTTGTGTGGATAGAAGAGCTAAAAATAATGAAGCAGTGAAATTTTACCGACAGAGTAAGAAGAAACCTTATCTCAAATTAAGAGTTATGGCGATTCTACCTAGGAGATATAATTATGACTGAAAAATCTTTCCAAAGGTAGGGTGATATCTGAATAGACATTTTCAAATAATATCAAGTGTCCTTGAACTGTTATACACTAGTTATTGTAACTATTTTGTTAGGTAAGAGTTAGCCTTAACTCTAGACTAACAATTCTTAACATGGATTATGATGTTGTTTTTCCTAGCACATGACTAAGAGCATAATTTTCGTTGTGTGCCAGCGTATGAAAACAAAAGTTATTCAATCTAAAGAAGTAGCAGAGAGGTAAGAAACACTTTCTACGGCATCACTAAGAAATATAGAGTAGTCCTAAGCCAAGGGTGCAGATGTGAAACCCCCCATGTTTAGTCCCACATCGGGAAAACCAAGAGAAATTTGATGGTTTAAATAGGGGGTCCAAGGAGCCAAGGGTAACATCAGCTAGTTCATTTTGGCAACGGTTTGAGCCAAACAACATGCTACACTCAGTGGGTCCCAAAGTTTACATCACGCGAATAGGCTCGCGCGCCCGGGGTGTGACAGTAGCAGCTGGCAAACAATGTAAGTTAGAATATATGAGGAACGAATAGTAGCATGTTCAACTGAAAAATCTCTTTTAGCCAGCAAAGTGAATAGTATTGTCAAGTCACAGGATCATATAACACCCCAAAATGAATGGTATGTGAGATATAAATCCTTCTAATTAACTCAAGAATTTACAATAACCAATATTTTTTTAGGAAAGAACCACAGAAAGTGTTCGTGGGAAAAAGAGTACTATGATTGCAGGCCCTCTGGATGACCTAAAGCAAGACATTATAATAACAACATGCATACACAATATGTACAATGAGAAGAAAAAGTATGTTTCTTCAATGATGAACAGAAGGATGTGTAACAAAACCAAATACACATGTTACAAACAAATGTTGGCTCTGTTGTATAAAGAGTATCAGTGTAGATAATTGACAACATGATGTGTTTTCATTTTTCTAAGACCTAATAGATATACTATACTAGGATATATCCGGCGACATTTTAGAAATTGTAGAAGAGAGAAAAACTTCAGAACTTACCTTTCAGATGAAAATCCAGTTTCTATTCGGCTCAATATGTCATTGATTTTTGCTTTCCTTGCTGTCTCAAGCAGTGCTGCAAAGGCATGTAGAGGCTGTTAATTTTGAAAAAGAACATCTCAATCTAAAAGGACATGCATAAAAGTTATTACTATTTCTTCTAGCCATACTTCTCCACATTGAAAGTTTTTGCTCCTTGTGTCAACTTTTCCCATCAATCTTTATGTTGAGAAGGATTCATGACAAGTTAAATTTGCAAAAGACTTTAATATTTGACATCAACCTTTTAGTCAATGACAGTTTCTTGGTGGAGAAAAGCATAGAAAAGGAGGTGTTTCAAAATTTAGGAGGCTAATTGGTGGTTAGAAAACTCCAGTAGTATTTTTTAATCACATCCCACCAAACTCAACCAAAATTCTTCTGAGCTAAATCTAAAAGGCAGAAGATATGATTTATATAGGAATTACATTCATCCTGAGGATGATATAAGTCAAATATTCAAGGAAAATGCTTTTCCAATTACTGATACAATTGTACATTTCTTAAGGTGCCAAGATACAGCAATTAAGTTACATAAGAGAAGCAGCTTAGAGACTGATTTTTATGGCCAAGATACAGCAATTAAGGTGCCAAGATACAGCAATTAAGTTACATAAGAGAAGCAGCTTAGAGACTGATTTTTATGGCTCACATCCAACAATTTAGTCAAGCAAACAAAGTAGCGACCAATTATTTAATCGATTCTATTCCTAATCTGAGTGCAGCAGAGTCAATTACAGTGGTAGAGTGATGGGGAACAACGCGAGGGCTTCAATCTGGAGGTGAGAAATCGGCGATGGCTTGGTGGAATGGTATTGGAATCCATCACGAACAACAAGAAAGTTACCGAGTTGAATAGTGCATGGGGTTAGTGTTCATCCAAGAACAACACTCCGCCTTTTAGGGTTTTAGGTTTTCTTTTGATATTTTTGAATGATGGTGATCTTTTGTTGAGAGGATAAATGTCCAAGATGTTTGAGGAGTGGATTTTGATTGAAGGATTTTATAATTGGAGGCCTAGGATAAAAGAAAGGGCCTCACACTCAAGGGCATCACACCCCGATACTTCACATGTTATAATTTTAGCACTTCACATGCTAACAAGGATTTCACATTTCAAAATTTTCTTTTCATTAATCATAGTCTATGTTATTGTGGGAAAAGTGACTTGATCCCATTGTGGATTAGTCCTTTTTATTATATAAATATAAATATAGTTCAAGATTACAAATGTACCCGATGTGGGACTAAAACACTTAATAAAGAAAATAGACACTAAATGTACTATCTACTCTAATACTCCCCTCAAGCTAGTGCAAAGATGTCAATCATGCCCAGCTTGTTACAAAGTGCATCAAACAATGACCGCGGCAAGGCTTTTGTAAGTATGTCAGCAATCTGATTAGTCGATCGAACATGTAGACTAACAATCTTCTTCAATAACATCATATCACGGATAAAATAACAGTGCACTTTGATATGTCTTGTCCGCTTATGATACACAGGATTGCTTGCATTGTAGATAGCTGCTTGATTGTCACAGTAGAGTGTCATGAGCTTTGAGAAAACAATGCCATCTCCTGCAATAGTGAGCAAACCCAAGTCATCTCGCATCCAGCATGAGCCATAGCTCTGCACTTAGCTTTGGCACTAGAAAAGGCAACAACTGTTTGTTTTTTACTACGCTAAGTAACCAAATTGCCTCCAACAAAAGTGCAATAACCACTAATTGAATGTCGATCAAGAGGATCACTTGCCTAGTCAGCATTAGAGTAGCCTACAATATTCAAATTGTTGGAAGTATGATAAAAGAGTCCTTTCCCTGGTGCCCCTTTTATGTATCGTAATACCCGACAAGCTGTAGACCAATGTAACTGATGTGCATTATGCATACATCGACTGAGAACTCTAACCACATAAGTGATATCGGGACGTGTAACCTTCAAGATAAACTTGCCAATCAATTTGCGGTAACCAGTATGATTAGAGAGAGCTTCCCCCAAATACAGATCAAATCTAATTTGAGAGTCCATACACGTACGAACTAGCTTGGAATTAAGCATGTCCATATCGTCAAGAAGATCGAGAAGATACTTCCTTTGAGATAGAGCTAGCCCCTTAGAGGACTGAGCAACCTCTATCCCAAGAAAGTATCGTAAAACTCCTAGATCTTTCACATCAAATGGGAACTAAGATATAACTTTAAATCTCGAATGACTTGATGATCATCTCCTGATATAACGATATCATCCATGTATATAGCAAAGGCAATAGTACTAGTGCTAAAATACTACAAAAAATGGAATGATACGATGCAGTACGCTTCAAGCCATAGTTACTAACCACCATACTAAATTTATCAAACCATGCACAAGGAGATTGCTTCAAACATAGATGGCCTTTTTAAGGCGACACACCTTTCCAGGCTCCTAAACTTTATATCCTGGTGGCTGAACCATATATACCTCTTCTTGCAAATCACCATGCAAGAAGATATTCTTGATATCTAGCTAAAAAGTGGCTAGTTTTTCACAACTGCAACAGATAATAAAATCCACACTAAATGCAAGCAAGCAATCGGAGAAAATGTCTCAAAGTAATCCACACCAAATGTTTGAGTATATCCTTTTGCAACTAAGCGAGCCTCTAATCGCTCCACTTAACCCGTCGGAAGAAATTTCACTACATACACCCATCGATAACCAACTGCAACTTTTCATGGTGGTAGAGTAGTAAGCTCCCAAGTTGCATTAGAATGCAATGCAGCAATTTCTACATCCATTACACTTTTCCACCCTGGATCTAAAAGACCTTCGCGAAAGGATGTAAGACTAGACACAGAGGATAATGATAAGGCAAAGGCAGCATAATAGGGTGATAAATGACAAAGGGAAACAAAGTTGTCAATGGTATTTTTCTGAGTACAAGAACGTTTACATTTTCGAAGGGCAATAGAAAGATCACAGTCATCAGACTCTTCAGGAACAGGAGCAAGATCTTCAGGCGAAGAGGTAGATTGGATAGTAGGTATAGTGATAGGCTATGTACTTTTATTTTTTGCCGCTAATAAACTTGTAGCGGTTTCAATGCCTGTGGTGGTTATGATGGTGATTCCTCAGAAATAACCGGTATAGGAAAGGTGCGTCTATAGGAGGAGACTCAGATGTGGAGGATGTAAAATAAGGAGTATCTTCAAAAATTGTAACATCAGCACAAATTAAGTATTTCTTAATTTCTGGATTCCAATATCAATAATCTTTTTGAGTTCTTGAGGATCCTAAGAAAACACATTTTATAGCCAGAGAATCTAATTTATCACGCCCTTTATCAAGAATTTAAACAAAGCAAAGACATCCAAAAACTTTAGGAGATATGTCAAAAACCTTTTTATTCTTATCATTACATAGCACAGATATAGGTGGTTGACCATTTAAAACAATTGAAGGCACACGTTTAATCAGAAACAAGCACTTGACACGACATCACTCCAGAAATGCTTTGGTACATGCATATGAAGTAATAATGTTCGTGTAATATCAAGAAGATGACGATTCTTACGCTCAGCAACACCATTTTGTTGTAATGTGTGAGCACAAGATGTCTGAAGAATAATGCATGTAAAAAACAACAATCTTGAAAAGCTTTTTGCATATATTCAGCAACATTATCAGAGCGCAAAATTTTCAAAGAACAACCAAATTGTCTTAATCTCTTGATGAAAAACTTTAAAAACTGATAAAATCTTAGAACGATCTCTAATAAAAAATAACCATGTCATACGAGAATAGTCATCAATAAATGTCACAAAATAAGAAAAATCTGAAAAAGATTTAACACGAGTAGGACCCCAAATATCCGTATGAATAATATCAAAGACTGAATTACATCTATTATTTTTCCTAGAAACAAAGGTAGTCCCATAATGCTTTCCTAGTTGGCACGACATACATTCTAATTTAGAGACAAACTTAGTAGAAAGAATGATAGAATGCAATGACCTAATAGATGCATGACCTAAATAATTATGCCACCGAAGAGCAGAAACATCTAAAGCAGTAGCTGTAATGTTACTGGATTATCCATCAGCACCGTGAAGATAGTACAACCCATCACGTTCATATCCCCCACCAATCATCTTCTTCGTGTGAAGATCCTGAAACGCACAAGATGAAGGAGAAAACGTTATGGAGCAGTTAAATGATTTTGTCAAACGGCTAACAGATATAAGATTAAAAGAAATATCTAGAATATAATTGATATTTGACAAAGTATGCGAAGGAGTAGATATGACTGTGCCGGTGCCAATGATACTGCGTGAGCGCCCATCAGCAAATAAAATAGAAGGTGAGGAATGAATTTGTAAAATCTATGCAAAATTTGTGGATCTACCCGTAAGATGTGAAGAGGCGCCAGAATCAATAATCCACAAAGTAGAAAGTGTACTAACAAGAGAAGTAATACTTGAGTGGGCTAAAGTGGTAACTTCTGAAGTAGATGCCGCATGCACCTTCTGAAATAGAGATTTATGCTCTGACCGACTTATGGAAACATGCTCATTAGCTAAAGATGGATGGGTAGCAGAAGATTCCTTTGCAACTGAGGTAGATAAGCCACCCCCATCACAGATATACGCCTTATGTAGAGATTGTGACCACTCTGGTTTGTAGCTCCCAACATGTTTTAACATAGTGATTTTTCCGCCTATAGTGAGTTAAAAACGTGAATCACTTCCTCGAACACGACCACATCCATCACGACCACTACGACCAGCATGCCCACCACGTCCTCGGGGAATAAATCCACCATGACCACAAGAAGACTGTGGAGATCTTATGGACGAGAAAAGTGCAGAAGTCTCAGCAACTGAGGGCTGGAGTGGGGTCTCCACAGCCTGAGAGAGGCAAGAGAATGCTCCACGAAGAGAGGGTAATCTGCATTCTGATGCTAAGAAGTGTCCTCGTAGTGGTTTCAAAGTCAAGTTCGAACCAGATAATAATTTGCAGACAAAGAGATCCTCTCGTTGTTTCTTCAAAGTCT